GAACATTCCCTCTCCAGCCTCCTTGCAGTCCCTTCAGACACCGGAAGGTCTCTTCTTCCAGAACCTTCTCCAGGCAGAGCATCCCCATCTCCCCCAGCCTGTCTGCACAGGAGAGGAGCTGCAGCCCCTTAACAGCCTGGCCTCCTCTGGGCTCATTCCAACAGCTCTGTGTCCTTCTGGTGTTGGGGACACAGCACTGCAGGGGGGGTCACAGCAGAGCTGTGTAGGACCAGCCAAAGGGGGTGCAGCCCCCAAAACCTCCAGTTTGTGGCTGAATCACCCCCCTGGCAGGGCTGAGCTCGAGGTCAGGCTTGGAAGGATTAAAGCTGCTTTGCCTGTCCTAATTCCAGGCCGGGTGGGGGATGGCTCTGCTGCCAGCTGTGGCACAGAGCCCAAATGCCAGCACTGATTGAAGCTTCCAGGCTGCCACCAAAATAATTACAATATGGATAATTACAGTAACATTATTGCATTAACATTATTTCTTCATTATGAGTATATATTTGTGATATTACCTAGGCAATAGGATGGGTGTATTTCCTGTCTTGAGAGTAATTAGAGGCTCTCCACCTCCCACTCCACCTCCCAAGGAAATTATTTCTTATAGTTTAACTATTCTGTTTACTTGAATGTATTTTCTCTCTTTTTGTGCTGTGACAGCCCTGAATTCCACCTTAACAGATGTGAGAGTGGATTTCCTGTCTGCAGATTCATTCTCACTGTGGATGGTGGTTTGTGTCTTGCAGAAATGTTTGGGCTCTCCTGAGCTGTTCCATTTTAGGGCTTGTTGATGTTTGGAGCTGTTGTGGGTTAAATCCATGGGTGGACACCTGATTCTGGAACAAGGAACTTCCTTCCCACAAACCTAATTCCTTGTTGGTGTGGAACCCAGTGCTTTTATTCTGGAATGAGAGTGTCAGCATGTGGGATTCATCAGGAATGGATCCATGGATGGAGGAGGTTTAGATGGGATATTGGGAAGGAATTCTGCCCTGTGAGGGTGATGAGGTGTGGAGGCCCTGGCACAGGGTGCACAGTGAAGCTGTGGCTGTCCCTGGATCCCTGGAAGTGTCCAAGGCCAGGCTGGACAGGGCTTGGAGCAGCCTGGGACAGTGGAAGGTGTCCCTGCCCATGCAGGGGGTGGAATGAAATCACCTTAAAGGTCCCTTCCCACCCAAGCCATTCCATGGTTCTATGGACAAACCCACACCTTCCACCTGATGCCCCAAAATCCCTTGGGAGGGAAGGGCTGTGGAGGCTGCTGGGTTCTGTGGGTGATGATCTCAGTGCTCACCTGGTGATAAATAATTCGCTCCTTTGGGTTCTCTGCCCTTGGTGGTCTTAGCTTCTGTCATCTCATGTTCTCAGCCCTTTGCACTAATTAATCCTTAATTTTTTTTTTTTTAATAAGAGTGATGTAGAAGCCTCACTACAGAGCACACTTCCCTTAACAGTGTGTGTCATCACCCAGCCTGAAGCTGGAAGCAGTTACGGCTTTGCCTCCTCATCTCATGACCAAAAAACCCCAAACAGGCGGGAGGACCAGACTTTCACACACAACACTTCCGTGGTGAGCAGGGCTGCTGCTGCTGCTGCTCCCTCCCGTGAGCAGCCCGGGGGCACAGGAAGGGCTCTGTGCTTATCAGATCCTTCTGTGAGCTGCCTTCCCTCAGCTCCCTCAGCTTCCGAGCTGCTCAGGGGTCACAGGCACTGCTGCATCCCTGGGGATGCTCCAAAGTCACGGGTGCTGCTCAGGGCTCACAGGGCATTGCTGCTTCCCTGGGGATGCTCCAAAGCCACAGAGTGATGCTCAGGGGTCACAGGCACTGCTGCTTCCCTGCAGGATGCTCCAAAGCCACGGGTGCTGCTCAGGGGTCACAGGCACTGCTGCATCCCTGGGGATGCTCCAAAGCCACCGGGGGCTGTTCAGGGGTCACAGGCACTGCTGCATCCCTGGGGATGCTCCAAAGCCACCGGGGGCTGCTCAGGGCTCACAGGCACTGCTGCATCCCTGGGGATGCTCCAAAGCCACGTCTCTTTGTTTCCCCCATCCCCAAGGGTTTGCCGTGGTGGAGGTGGCTGAGCACAGCCTGCCCTGCATTGCTGCCTGCTGGGGCATTTCTCAGGCCCTGTTTTTCTCCTTGATTGAGGGAAAACCAAATTTGTGAGTGTCTGAGGAAAAAGTGAGCTGCCCTCTGAAGCAATGACATTACTACATTTTTTCTCTGTTATTTTGTTTTCATGGTTTTACATAACCAAACCTTTTTTCTAAATCAGATATTTGGTAGATGGGGTAGATGATGTCGATCAAATTCTCAGAGTTTATCACCCCAAAGGCTGCAGCTCCTCTGCCCTGACTTAACTGGCAGCATGAACCAGGCAGTGCCGTGATGGATCCAGCTTATTTTTGGTCATGATGTTTATCAAAACATCTCTAACAAGATTTTAGCTTTTTATTTTTGTGTTGGACATTGTGGGCTCATATTTGGGTCACTCTCTGGAGGTTGTTTTTCATTATTGAGGTCTGAGGAACAGAATCCAGCAGTGCCAGGGTGCTCTGTGTGTGTATTTACACCCCATGAGCTGGGGCTCATTTTTAACAGCAAAGTGAAAAAGGAAGTAAAAAGTGCAGTAAAATGTGTCAAAGCTGCCTTAACCCCAGCAGGAAAATCTAACGAGTTACAGAGAAACAGGGACTGTGCTCAGGATGTTGAGCAACCATGCGACAAAACAGCAAATAAAACAGTGCTGGTAAAGGAAAGATGTGTGAGAGGACAAAAATGCTGCTTTGGTAGGAGAAGCTGTAAATCAGCCATTCCCATGGCAAAAGGAGATCTCTGGGATTCCATGGATGTCTCATGGTGGTGGCAGAGGATGAGGAGGGCGCTGGAAATGTTGGAGGACACAGGGCAGGAGGTGGCTGGGGGCTCTGAGCTCTGTGAGATGTCACCTGCCCTGAGGCTGGGGCACAAATCCTGCAGGAGAGGAGGAGGAGGAGAGGGCAGGAGGGAGGGACAGCCAAAGGTGCCACCATGGGATGGCTCAAGGCAGCAATGACATGGAGCTAA